AGCCACTAGCCAGGCCCTGCACTTGGCAGCTCTCCTGGCTGCTGTTCAGCTAATGAGGGCGCAGGGAGGCAGCACCATAAGCTGAGCACAATTGACACGGATTAAAAGTGGCCTGGCTACCTGACGGGCTGGGAAATGAGAAGCAGGCTCCAATTACTCAGAGAGATGGAGGGGATGCGGCCTGTTACCGGTGATTAATACTCCCTTGGGTTTCCTCAGCACTGAGCAGGGAAGGAAGGAAAGAAAGCTGCGGGACCTCGTGCACAGCTTTTCCCACACGAACTTGGGTCGATCTCTGGCGGTGCTGCTGGGACCTGCCACCACCTGCCTCTCCTTGTCCCTTCACAAAAGGCAAAGCCCCAGCAAGTTATGCTCTGTCTGGCCCTTGGTTTAGAGAGCACTGCTCAGCCAAGGGCCAGGAGCAAAGCAACGGGGAATAGGAGAATAGAATTGGCAAAGCAGCCAGCCACCCACTTCCACTTGCACCCAAGTAGAGCCTGGGCTGGAGCATCACTTCCCGGCCAGGGCTCGGCAGAGGGACTCACCTGGGTGCAAACGGGACTCTACAGATGGGAGCATCCCTCTTGGAGTGAGGACTCTAGGCTCCCTTTCCAGCCCATCCCAAGCCAGTGGAATGCGGGACATGCTATTTCTCCAAATTTGGTGTCCAAATTTTCTCCAAATTTGGTGTCCAAATTTGCATTGCTATGATGGGGCAACATAACCAGCAACAGCAGGGTAACACTGAGGGAAGGGGCAAGACCCTATTCAGACACAGCCACATCCTTTGTGCAGACAGAAAAGACCTTGTTTTAGCTAGCAAGGTGTCTTTGCTCTTACCAGAAGCACCAGGATCATGGGGCCTTGGTATATGTAGTCAGTATAAACTCCTGCTCGCTTCCCAAACCAGCACCTGCAAGGCAAGGACAAGCGGTGCTGGGAACAAGCCAGCAGCGTGCGAGCTGCTCCCTTCCGGGGCTTTAGTGAGAGCTGGGATAGGGACAGACCATGCAAGATCTGCACTGGGGCCAATCCTCCTCTCATGCTGGGAAATGTCAGGAATAACACCCTGGGGTCCACTGATCTGAGGGCAGAAGTGGGCACTGAGCCAGAAGGGAGCCAGCCACACTGGGGGGTTAGCCTGTGTATGAGGGGCCACAACACGAATCATCCCCCAACATTTGCACTGATCTTTGTGCTTGACACAGGAGGGATGTGCACTGGGCTAGCAGCAGTGAGTGCAACACCCAAACTACCTGGAAAAGCCTTAATACACCTTAAATGAAGGCTATGGCCTAGGGAAGAAAGGACCAGGTTGTGAATGACCTGGATTTATTCCTGTTCACATACCGACTTTCTCTGCAAGCTTCAGAGATGGGAATAAGCACTCCTGTGAAGGGGTGTTGGACCTCAGGATGAAAAGCGCAGCGTGTCAGTATTAATGAAAACAAGGCACTCAAATGACCTTGCATGCACGTGGGTCTGGATAGGCACCGTCCCTAGCAAATCCTGTGGAAACTCATGCAGGTATCTGTGTCCTAAGAGCACCTTGCTTGGATTTTTGTTAAATCGGAGCTGCTCCAGTGTGCATAGCACTGGCCTTTTGAAGTTACTGGGCAAACCTAACACTGAAAAACGAGACAAGCTGCCATTCATCTAAACAGGCTCCTTTTAACTTCTCAATGCACATGATGAACTCATCAGGTTCCTGCTAAGTCCTCCATTAGCAAGTCTCTGTGAAAATGGTTCAGGTGGTAGTAGTTTATATCTCTGCTGGTAGATTAAATCCCTGCTCCATTTAGCAAACACTTGGTAGGAGCCCTGGCTTAATCTAGCTTTTTTTCCCCCTAAAATCTCATTTGTTGTTTGGAGAGAAAAAATGCAGGAGCAGGCAGCTGCAATGAGGCCTCTTACTGCAGAGAGCCTAAAGGTAGAATAAAAGAACGGATGGAAGAATATCATCTTTTTTTTTCCTCCAACACTTCTGTGTGTCCTGCTTTGTGTTGGCCCTTCCAGGCAGGACCCCAGCCTGCTTCTGCATCTACAGCTCCTTGCACAACTGATTTCTAAATAATAGGAATAGAAAAGAGGATGAAAATTGAGAACAGCGATGGGGCTTACTTCTCGTTGTCGTAGTACAGTTTCCCGATGGCCCAGGCGACGATGATGGGAAAGGGGATACCTATAAATAAACATATAGGTGAACCTTAGCGGTGCAATGCAGTGACCAAGTTATGCCATAATGGTGATTTTCCAGCACAGGGCTCACATGGGGAGAGCCACTGGGCCCTGCAAGTCCCACGCATGGATGGCTCCTCGTGCTCCTGGCAGTCCTTTGCAGCTACGCCAGTGCAAGAAGGGCTGGAGCAGGGAGCGAAGGATGAGAACGGGCATCCCCTGTCACTAAAGACTCGGTCGCCCTGTGGACGAAGCGGAGACGCAGTGCTTACACCAGCCAATGCAGATGAACATCCACTTGCGGAGCTTGTCCGTGGAGTAGGTGAGCACGATGGCAGTGTGGAGGTAGCAGCCCTCGCCGAACATCCAGAAAAAGTTGGTGACGTGGAAGTAATTGTAGGCGGCTGTGACCAAGCGGCACCAGACCTGCCAAAGGGGATGGGTGGGTAAGGAGAAGATGTGGAGGGTGAAGAGCAGAGCTGCTCAGGGAAAGAACAAATGGGTGGCCCTCCTCAGAGCATCACTGGTCCCATCTGGGCTGTGTCAAGAAAAGCCCACAGTGTCTTCTTCAAAGGGTCTCTGTTGCTGATAAGGGTTAAGAGGCAACATTGTCTCTGTGTTACAGTGGAGAAACTGAGGCACAGAGAGGCACAGACCCCAGCAGAGAAATTGAACCAGATTTCCCATAAGCGTAAGTTGTACCCTAACCACCAGGCAGACCTATTCCACCTGCTGCTCCTGTGGACTATAGGATCCTTGAGCTCCCCCCATACCTGAGCTGACTGGCCCCTGGGTTGGGCTGGCTGAACAGGAGAGCTGCACTTACCACATTGCTCTCGTGCACCTCCGGGTTCATTGTGAGCTGCACCACAAACCACGTGGCATTGCGTAGGATGAAGGCTGTGATTAGGTTCCAGTGGATGATGTTCCTCAGACACCGGATACTCCTGGGGGGGAAAAGGGACCATCCGAGCATGGTGAGAGTGTGGGAGCCAGCCACACGCAGAGGGGAACAGAGCTGTTTGTGGAGCTGAATGTCTTTATAGGGATCTACAGGCCCCCATCACGCCACTAGGAAGATGTTGGAGCTGTGCCTGTACCCCTGTGGTAGGTGGGTAGGACTGATGCCAGGAGATAGACAGGACCAAGGAGGGTCCCTCTGCCTCCATAACCCCAAAACAGCTGGAGGAAAATAACCCAGAGCGAGGCACATCCCCCCATCCCAAAGGGCAGCTGGGAAGTGACAGCCACAGTGGAGGATATGGCAAAACGCGGGGGATCCAGGTCCTTCCCCAGCCCAAGGGCCTTGGGGTGATCTCTCCAGCCTCGTCCTCCTCTCATGCAGAGGGTTTGGTTACGGTGGGTCAAGTCACTCACCGCAGGCGCATGAAGAGGACGAAGGCCACGAGCAGGGCGCCCAGTGAGACACAGTGCCCCAGGTAATTGATGATGACAGCGATGTGGTAGTGCAGCTTGCTCTTCTTCTGCAGAGGTGGGTGGAAAACATCGGGGAAGAGGGTCAGTGCTGGCTCTGGGTACCACCATGCAAACCTGTCTCTTCCATCATGACATCAGCTCTGAGAGCTGCGCTGTGATTTTTAGTGGCCCCACTCAAAAACCACTTGGAGCCCACTGCCCATCTGATATGGGATGATTAGGAGTTAGCAGAGCAGAAAAGAGAAGCATGAACCAGAGCTGGGCTTGCAAAGTGCTCGTGTCCTACTCATGTCCGGGCAGCTAGCAACAGGCTCAAGAATGCTGCCCCTATTGCAGCCCTGCTCCATGCAGGGACATCCCTGACCCACGTCTGGGGAAGTCCCCCTTTTAATTCAGTCAAGCTGCCTGGAAACGTGACATCTGATGTCTCAGTTCATTCCACTTTGCCCTGGGGGCAGCTGAGAGACTTGGGTGTATTTGGGCAGAGGGAGCAGGGGATCACGGGAAGGCGTGTATGATAATTAAATTAATTGATTGGTCCTGCTGTTAGGCACTCATCCAACCTGTGAATTAGCAATTAACTGAGTGAGAAAACCATTCCTGGCAAGAGATATCAGCTTCTTAAATACCAGAGGTGGCTATTAACTGCAAATGAACAGCCTGTATCTCTTCTCTGCTTTGAGGGGTGGCTTGACTTATTCTTCTTGTAATTCTTGGTCCTCACTTCTTTTTTTTTTTAGTCCCTTTCAGCTTCCTAAACATCTTTATTTCATTGCCAGCTGCCAGCAGGCAGGGACAGGGTTTGCACTGAATGCTTGTATTGGGAGAGAGCTGGTGGAGCAAAGGAAGAGGCGAGAGGGTATGCTGATCTGCACCCTGGGCACTGGTCTCAGGGTACCTCACACTGCAAATCCTCCTGGCTTTTTAATAGGGAAGGAATTTTTTTTTTTTCTCCCCAAGGAGTGAAAGTGCATAGCAGTGAGGGAGGTGCTGTATGCTGTGTGTGACCCTAAAGAGTTGGATGGCGATGCATGCCTGGCCCCATATCTCCCTTGAATCATTCCTGGCCTGGATGTTGCTGCTTTTCAAAACTATTTCCTATCCCTTACCCTCCCACCATGAGCGCAGTCGAGTCAGGTTCCTACCTCTTCGCTGAGGATCTCCTGGCACTGAGAGTAGTTGACACGTGCTGCCCAGCTCCCATTGGCAAGGCACTCCCTGTAGCCATTGTCTGCAAGAGAGGATGCACATCAATGGGTTAACAGCGCATGGTGCATGAGCTGGACACAAGCCTTCAGAGGAATGAAAAATGCGACCTGATGATCATTAATAATCCAGGTGTCTCCGATGTCAAGCTGGTGGAGTCTTATTCCTTAAAGCCAACTTGGAGCATGACTTGGTTGTTATTGCAGGACTCAAATCCCTGGCATGGTGTGGGGAGTGTCACGTCTGCTCTGCAAAAGCTCTTGTTTTACAAACAGGAAAGCAAGGGCAGAAGTCTTTTCAAGAAAGCTGAAAGGCCTGGGTAAGTGCTTTCAAGCCAAGAAGAGATCTGTGCCTTGGAACGCTTCCCTATGCCTTCCAAAATGCTCATGTTTGCCAGGGATGCTTCCCCACGCTTTCCAAAATGCTCATGTTCCCCAGAATTGCCCACCCTGGTGCTTCTAGATGTGGGTTGAAGTGCTTTCAGAAAAGCCTTTCTGTTCCCTGTGCAATCTGGAAATCAGAGGCTAATATGACCTAAATCTTTCCGCGAACATTTCAGAACCACCCAAGGCCTTTGGGCTGTGTTTTGGTCTCCAAGCAGCTGCAGGTTCGGGCAGATTCATGAGATTAGTTGATGTCTGGAGCTGTCCCCTCTTTGACTTTTTTGGAATTTCCCTGAAGTCAGTACCCAGACTGAAGAGATTTAAGGATGGGATCTGCTTGCAAAGAGCAGAGAATGGTCCCAAGTTTTTGCCAAAGCAAATGACTCTTTGCAACTTTCCTCAAGGACTGAGGGCACATCTGTTTGAATTTCTTAGTCAAGCTGGCAACGGTGTAAATGGCCAGAACCCAGGCCCAGGGAGACTTGGAGCGAGGCTAAGCAGGGTCCAGCACCCTGGAGCCAGAGACCTGACTTTGTTTCCCAGAGCATCAGCTCTGACCCTTGGGAGTCCCGATGCCTATGAACACTGAGTCGTGCTGGGAGAGGCACGAGTCCGAATCACATTTTCCCTTCCTGTGCACCGTTTGCTCGAGTCATTATCTGCCATCCAGCAAACTCTATCTCAGTGACAGCATGAAGTTTGCACTTTTCTCCCTGCATTAGTAGCTTTCTCAGCCCCCGGCAAGCTCTGTCTCCCCAGGACGATGAGATGCAAGGCTAATTGGGAAGGAGAGGCTGTGACAGGCCCAGAGCAACCTCTGATTAGCATTAGTACTGGGGAAATGCCAGCACATGGGTGACTTTGGGGCTCTATTAACAGAAGAGACCATGAGCCTCATCAGGGTGATGGGATGGGACAGAGATGGGAATGACTCTTAGGCAGACACAAGTATGGATTAATAAAAAGAGACTCCTACAATGGCATGAAAGGCATGCGAGAGCAAGAGCCATCTGTGTATGAAGTGCCTTTGGGGCAAAAAGGTGTAGGATGGAAACCTGGATGTTTTCTGCAGGAAGCAAGATGTTTCTTTCATAAAAATCAGCACTTGGTCAGAAACCCAGCCGTGTGCTAGGAATGGCTTTGAGGGCTTTCAGAGTGCCTTTGCCTTCCTGGACTTTGATGTGTCCTCCACTACGCAGTCGTGCAGACCAAGGCAGCATTGCCTGCAGTGACAACACAACTGTGTCAAGCAGGGATGAGCCGTGAGCACAGGCTCTTGCAGGACTGGGGGCCAAAACTGCAATGGGCTCTGTCATTGGGGACCCCTCCAGGGACAAGGTCCGGGTCCTTGCTCAACTGGGAGGTGCAGTCCTGTGTCTCCTCCAAGAACAGGGCAAGCATGCTTATTTTCCCCTGTGCCCAAGCTGGGGACATCAGCTCTCTTCCCCTTCACTGGTGCATGCCCAGGAAGACCTGCTTATAAAGGCACTGCTGTGATGTGACCCTACTTTGCCCAATAAAGTGCTGGGTGTGAAGACAGCTCCCAAAATTTGGGATATGAGGGCTTCTTTTCTTTTTGATTGTCAGATGACACAGAGCACCCCAAATACCTCTATACTCAGAGACTTACTGTTGCTCGTTCACCCCTCGCCCCCAATCCCAGCAGGTCTCTCTGAACACCCCCATCCCTCACCCAACCATGTCCCCATCCCTGTCAGTGGTGGCTGTCTCACTTGTGGTGTTGTACCGCACACCGTAGAAATACTCGGGGCAGGGGCGAGCCACCAGCTGTCCTACAGCACTCCGGGGCCAACACGTGCCGATTAAGTCTACTGAGGCGTTGCACTGGGGACCTGGGGAGGAGAAAGGCAGAAGGTTAGCTGAGATCTTGGAGCCACCTCTGGGCTGTTGAAAGACCCGGGTTTGTCCTGGGAGAGCCGAGGTTGGAGTCCTGGCTGAGCTGAAGGGTCAGTGGCTGCTCTTCTCCCAGCAGAGCTTCATGGCAGACACCAAAGGGGCTCTGTGCCAAGACTCCCCAAGGGCAGCTTGAGCCAGCCTGGCCCTGCCCATCACTCTGGTCCTGTCTAAGCACCCAGGAAGCACGGTCTATTGCAAATCTGGTTTTCTAACTTGGCTTCCTTGGTCAGCCTGGAGTCCTGTCTTTACATTCTCCTGCCCTGCTATTCTTCGATCATGACTTTGATGTCAAGCTTCGGCACCAGCTGGTAATAAGCTGAGTTGTCCCTTTCCCAGAGGTAACGGCACCTGGGGCTGGTGGGACGCTCCTCAGTGACTGCTTCCCATCTGATCCTCTCATACCTCCCAGCTGTGATGTTTCTTTCCTGGCTGTTTGTGTTGGTCTCTTCCAGCCTTTGCCAGGAAGAAAGCTCCAACTCTGCTGCTGCTAGAAGGAGGACTTGCGTGCTTTTCCCAGATATACAAGTGCACTAACGTGGGCATTAGGTAGGCCAGATTGCAGTCTTTTTTTAACACACATTTTGTATATATTTAGAAGAACATGTGCCGTAGCTAAGTACGTCTTAGCTACACCTCAAAGTGAGGTAGAAAGCACGGCAGCTATGTAATATCGGTATAATACAGTCATTAAGTGGCTGCAATCTGAAGATGAATGGGCAGAGGACCCTGGAAGGGGCAGAGTTTAGGGCAAACCTCTCCTGGGTGCTGGAGCTGTCTGGGCTGCCAGTGCTGAGATAAACATTTCCTAAGGCAAATCACCTCAATTCACAACTCTTCTGGGTGTGAGAACATAGCGTTTCCTCTCGACCTGGCCTCTAAGAATGAATGTTGTTTGAAAGCCTTTCCAGAGATTGCCTGTGGATAGAGCTGGCTAAAACCCAGCTAAACAAAAAAAAGCAAAAGCATTGCCTTATTGATACGATGAAGATTTTCATGGGAGGATATTTGTTGTCATTGCTAATCTGAAAAATAGGGTCCTTGGTTTGCTGGGAAATTCTCAGAGCAAATTTTCAGTGAGAGAAAAACTAAGTTTTTCTTCTAATGTCCCTGCAAGAAAAAACAACTTCCAAGGAATCCAGTTTGTGCATTGGGGAAGCATTCAGAGCGTGGTGAGTGCTACCTTCTCCCTCCCACAGCTTACGGTGAGAAATTAATTTTAACAATGACCCTTGCTTTCAGTTTTGCTTATGTGTATGTTGCTGTAGCAACCTTCACTTTAAGTTAAGTATTTTAAGGCTATATTTCTTAGGAAACACCATGCATTTAATCATGTGTTGCGTGTATGCCTGTGCTTATCTGCATCCATTAGCAATTGTTGAGCTCTTTAGATGTTTTGACCCAAATCTGACACAGAAATAGAGGATCAGAAAACAAACTCTATATTTAAAATTTTATGATAATATGCAGCCAGGAAGAGAAGAGAGAACTGATAATTACTTACACCAAGGATGTTCATAAATACCTGGTTTAGGAAACGCTTCACTTGGAAAAACCCATGAGGCACTGATGCAAGGGAAAACTGGATTAGTGCATAGCTGGTGAAAGCCTTCACTGAGACTGGCAGGGCTAAGCACAAAGTCCATATTCTCCTGAACCACCCCGTGCCTCAGTTTCCCTGCATCCAAGGAGCTGTGCTGTGGCACAGGTGCAGACTACTCAGCAGGGACAAACAGGAAGATCGAGCAATTAAAGATCAGCAGAGCCAGAGTCTGACAGCAATGGTACACTCAACCAGTAGGGAACAAGCGACAGCAATATCATTAATAACCAAAACCAAGATAACTTCATGGAAATTACGTTGGCAGACAAAGGTGGCGACATTCTGTTATACAACTACTAAAGGCTGAGTGTAATATCTCCACATTACCCCAAGGCACTCGATTTAATGCTGCATGACACTCCGATTAAAGCATCATGGCCACCCACCAGATTAAAAATGGAGTGGACAGGTCATGCGATCCCTTTACTGCTGGAGAAGCACTGTGGGAAGGGAAGATGGATGCGGGGTGACGGGGCAGCAGCGCTGCTAGGACCTTCCCCCCACCCCCACCCCATGGGTTAGGGTGAGACCCAGGGCTGGAGGCAGCAACGAGGCGAGCAGGTTTTGTCTGGGTGCCACTGGAGACGGTGATTTGGAGTCTGTCCAGCCAGTTTTTAATCTGGTGGGTGGCTGTCGTGTTTCTCCTGGGCTCACGCAGAGAAATACTCTATGAAGGAAAGCCACAGAACTGCTCTTGCTCCTCTCTCCAGTATGCAGGGAAAGGGAGGAAAAAATAAATCAGCTGTTGGGGAAGGGTTAAATAAAACAGAAAAGGAGAAGAGAGCCACGAGGGCTACGACATCCCGTTTGCCCATCATGACCGTCTGCTCCAGCTGCTCCCCAGCGGCATGCTGCTCCCAGCATTTAGAGAGCTGTTTAGCATGGAAATGATATGTATCGATGCTAAATGCATTCGTGTCTGCTTCTCAGCCCATCTATATTTGCAGAGGGATTATTCTCCCAGGTTCTGCAAGTGTCTGCTCTGGCTTTCCCAGCCCTGTTTGCTGCACAGACACAGTTATGTTCTTTGTGGCATTACATCCGGAAAGGTTGATGGATTTCCTATATGCACCCCATCCCCCAGATCTGGCTCTCTCCCACACAGAAACAGCACATTTAGGGTAGGAGGGAGCTGGTCCTGCTTTGAGACGGGGAGCGTGGAACAGAGGAAGTCACTCAAATCCCTTCCCACCCAATTTTCTTCAGTTCAGTTTTCGCTTCTTTAAAGCAATATAAAGTATTTCCTCTACTCTGAAGGAAAAGTGCCTGTCCAGGGACTTACACTATACCACAATAACTATGCCACAACTTTATCACAATAACTACAGAAACAGACTGCGTGAGGATACATATTGGGTTTCCTTTTTATCATGGCAAACTTCCCTCTTGTTTCTACAGGACGGGCTTCTTCACTGCTCATGGAGCGCCCTGCAGCAGGTCCGAGCTAAAGTGATGTAGACGTAAAAAGCCTGGCAGGGTACAGCTCACCAGTCCCAGCTAATCTGCCAAAAGGTTTGAGCAAATTTAGAGAGGACCGAGTGTGGTTCTCCTGGGCCAGCACCAGCAGACATGTGGCTGCGGTGCTTTCCAGCTGGGGCCAGGAGGTCTGAAGCTTTTTTTTGTATTGTCAGACCACTGCTAGGATGGTATGAAGAGGACTAAAGGTTGTACTAACACAGCAGTGCTGGCATGCACTTCCCTTTCTCAGACAGATGCAAGGGGCAAGGCTTTGCTTGAGAACAGCATCTCAGCACGCTGCTGTGTCCCCACTGACGGCTGCTTGAAGGGTGAAGCATTTCTCCCAGGGTGCATTTCAATGGCGGCTAGAAAAGACGATCGAAGTCTGAATCGCAGGCACATTCCTATGGTTAGGAGTGATGGGGTTATTTATCTAAGGTGTCTCAGGAGGCTGAGCAACAGCCAAAATGTGTTAGCTCATATCTCTACCAGTCCTGAGCTCTTACTCAAGTACAATTATCTCTGTCCATACCTGATTGCCTCTGTGATTGCATTGCTATCAGTGCACTTTGAGCAGGCTGCAGCCGGGGCCTTTAGCTCCCTGTGGGAGTCACTTGTGGAGCATTTGCATTTGGTAGTCAGGGCTTCAGCTCCACATCTCATCAAAATATACTCCCCACAGCCAGCACCTGATGGGGCAGCCAGAACTGCAAAAGGTCATCTGTCTCTCCTGGGCACCCACTATTGCTCTGATAGGGCAGAAGGAGCCATTTCACGCACCTTATTGCCCTAGTGAAAGCACCCTTGGGTGGGGATGGTCTTATTTAAGGGCTCTGATGCACCTAGGAGGGTGGCTCATGGGAGTGCAGGTACAGCAGCTCTATCCCCTGCTATGTGTGATCCCCAGCTGCACTCAAGTGCTTAAGGCCTATGGGTAACAGCCAGAGGCATTAAGAGAAATTGCACTTGGGAAAATTTTACATTAACAGGGGGCTGAAATTGGGCAGTCAATCTGTTTTGCTTCCCTCTCAGGCTGGGGTGGACAGCCAGTCTGGCTGGGGGCAGCTGCAGTTGTCTCGGAGTACCTAGATCCTTTCCCACATATCTTATCTTCAGTGCTGCTTTGGGGGGCTTCGAATGTCTATATTTGTCTCTGTAAGCGTCCAGTCCTTAAAAAATGCCCAGATTCTACGGACCTCAATGAAAAATAATTACACAGGCTAATGAAGTGTTCTATTAGCAAAATGTCTTTGCAGTGAATTTTCAGTTTGTTGCTATTCACCCTCACTGACTGTCTCCTTGGATCTTTGCTGCTATTCTGGAGAAGAATAAATTGGAGACATCAAGCCTATCTTTTGCCACCAGCATTTAATGTGTCTGTGCAATGTCATCACTTAAGATAGATCCACGTATGGCTTATGTGCCCTTGGAATATATAATACAGTGGGTTGTTTTTTAGGCATATCTTGTTGTCCTGGTACAATGTCGTGTGGTTGGAGTTGTGTTATTACCAAGGGGAGCAGCCAGCGGTTTATTCCTTGGTGTAGCCTGGGCTTTGCTGGCGGGTGAGCTCGCTGCCAGAGACTTCCTGGCAGAAACCTCCAATTTGGCTAAAATTGAGTTTTCCAGAGTAGCTGGCAATGGTTTTACTGCATCCGGTCCAAAGTGCAGTCTAAGTGGGGTAGTTGCCATATATGCTGAGGTGTGCCAGGACGCTGTTATGATTTTTCCTACCAGAAAACCTCAAACCATCACCTTCCTCCCTCTTCCAGCTACAAGAAAAAGCTATGAATAGAAGTAAGTTTCTATTGACATCCCTGTTTGCCAGATGATGAAATAAAATGGCTTTATCAATACTAGTCTATACTTAAAGCACTATGATTTTGCCATATAGGCAAGTTCTAATTCATCAGCTTCCCAACGTGTGCCCATGTCGCTGCGTCCCCTCAGTGCTGAGTCCCTGCCAGGGTTCGCTGCCTTTCTCTACCCCTGCTCAGCTTCCTTCTGGTATTTCTGTGTTGGTGGGAGAGATGCCAGCGAGGCTGAAGGGAAGAGAGACGCTGCTGTTGTTAATTTGACCTTTATGAATTTCAATTCCAGTCTCTCCCCAAGGGAGTCAATGAGTGAGTGAAAATGCAGCGGCACGAGAAGGGCCCGCTGGAGCGATGTCAGCAGCTTAGGGAGCTGAGCTGAAGCGAGTGGAAAGGCTCGTGGTCAAACTGTCACATTATGTGAAATGCGTTCCTGAGACTGCCTGGTAAAGCCCACCCAAAGGAGGTGCTCAGACCCTTCACTACACTCACGTTTTCCCCCATTGCAGTGTTTCATTACAATCTGCACCAACCCAACTTGCTTGATTTAAATGCAAAACTACACCCTTTTCCCCCCTCAAAAAAGCCTCCAGTTTTTAAAAAAAGATATTGCAATTTTAACGTCACTTTGTTGTCATTTTCCTTTGCTTTAGGTCAATCTGGAGTGGTTGGAAGCATCCTGTCCTGCTTGGGAGGCTGCCCATGCCAAGGAAAACCGCAGCAAACGCTGACCCTTGGGTGGACTGAAGGGGGTAGAGCTGGCGGGGGGGATGCTTCACCACTGCTGTCCCTGGGCAAGGTCCCAGGTCAGTCCTTAGGCTGGACCCACCTCCCAGCACGTTTTGCCAGCAGAGCCTTTTCCAGGGGCAAATAGCAGTTTCGGTCCTCGCTGGTCTGCCCAGCTGGTGAAATGGTAGGAGGCAACAGTTAGAAAGAAGCTGCTTCATCACCCCTTAGTTGGTGACTGCTCTCATTAGCATGGCTCTGTTTCTCCTCATAGTACAAAGGAGGGCCAAAACAGCTTTACTTTAGGGCTGGCTCTGGCTACGAGACAGCAATAGTCTGTCATGCACATGGGTGGTTTATTCTTGTCGCTGTAGTGGCCCTGGTTTTGTCCCCTTCATCCCAGCCACTGCTTTTGGACCTGTATCTGAGCTGGGCAGCCTCGGGTACAGCCATGAGACCGGTGTAAGAAGATGGGCAGGAGCTCGGGAGCATTCCGGTGGCTTTCCAATTCCCTTCCTGTGTCTGGAGAGAAAGACCGTTCCTCCCTCCATTTCCCAGGAAGGAATGAGCTGGGCTCCCTCCTCTCTCTTGGGGACATACACGTGATTGAGGACCAAGTTTATTGAGAATAATCACAGGTAAAAAGTAGAATAGCCTAAAGAGTGCAGCCAGGACCAGCCAGGGCTCGTAGTAACTGGATGCCAGCTCCATGGGCTGATCCAAGCTTGGATGCTATGAATGGCAAAATAACCACGCGCGCGCTCCGAGCTCATTCCACTTAAGTGGCTTCTGCTGGGCTGCTTGTGAAAGCATCATCTATTAATTAGAAAGAGGCTTTTCCGTCTGCTCAGATTTCCTTTTCCTTCCCCAGAAAAGTGCCACGATGGGAAACGATCACGCAGCGCAGTTAGATGCTTTGCCCCAGCAGGCAAAATGACCTTGGCCCTCCCCGAACAGCTTCCTGGCAGGGCTAGGGGAGAAACAGCTGATCCCACATCCCTGGAGAGCATAAATCATCAGGAATACAAACTCACTCTCTGAGGCAATCTGTAAGCTGGGAGCCCTTGGGACAGGCACCTTTCCACTCTGGAGAGAGGATGCTGATCTTACCTATGTTTCTTTTAAATTAAGCTTAATTAAGCCTCATTTATTGCATTCCAAATGTTTGGTGGTGCAGCTGACCCGTCATTACCAATGCACCATCTTGACCTCAAGTCCAACCTGATTTGACTTCTGTCTGGTGGAATAAATATTTAGTGTTACTGAGGACAACAACCCTTCTGATGGAGCGCCCTAGCTGTGTGTGTGGATGCCCAGATGTCCCAGCAGGGGCCAGAATCAGGGGGCCCACCAAGAGGTATTTTTGATATGTACCTGAAATATCAGGTCAGGCCATCACCCCAGGCAGGGAGTCTGGACAAGGCTGAATGCCAAGTGACGTAGCTTTGTGTTGGGGACAGTTGCACATAGAGGATGACGGGTAAATCTCTGCAGACGAGAGGGCAGCACCAGTGAACAGAGCAGTCCTGCCTGGGGCTCAGCTGCTCTGCTTCCAGGGATGAGAGTTTGCGTGAGGTCCTGTGCACCCAGTGAGCCCAGTGAGCACCACCTTGAGTCTCTCTCCACTGCACTGTCATGAGCAGAGACCTTACCAGCTCAGTGCATGAGCCTTGGGGCCATGCTGGCTCCCTGGTAAGAAGCAGAGTTCCTGCAAAGGTAGCTTTGCACCGACTGCACTGCTAGCACTGTCCTGCCTTGTGTCCTCATTTAAAAATGAGAGATCAAACGATGAGGGGATTGGTGACCTGAGAGAGGAAGATACCCTACGCTGGGTTATTTTTTGGAGGAGGAATGCTGTGCCCTGCCAAACGGCAGGGCTCCTTAGTGCGCTCAGCTGGCACTCTACTGAGATGCTGGCTGGAGGACCAGTGGGCCTCATGTTATTAGCACATGTCTTTTCTCAAGGGTTACACAGACATTAACGAATTAAGTCTTACAGCCTTGCTGCAAATCTCATTAGCATCATTCTAATAACTCCCCTTTTAAATAGCCTCAGAACAAAGTTTCCAGTTTTGTAAATGTCCCTCCCTAGGAATCGCTGCCTGAATCAGGCAAGGCTTAAATGGATGTGGACTGACGCTGAACTATACTTACCAAGCGACACACATAAGCCAATTAGTTTCATCTCTGTACCTCTTGCTCTAGCCTCCCCAGACCATGGCTGCTTGCAGATGCTCCAGCCCCATCCCACATCCATCAAGTTACTTGATACTGACAGATCAGATATGGTGAGGCTCTGGAGATGTTGCAAATCTGAACCCTGGCAATGTCGCACTCCTGACATCCCACAGTGATGGGAGCCAAGGTACACCATCTTCATCCTTGGATTGGCACTGGTAAATCCGTACTGACCAAAACCCAACCCTTGCAAAAATCAGCACCCATTGCCTGAGGGCAGCCATGCTTGCAGGGCGTGCGTCCATCAGCAAAGCCATGCCACTGTTAGAAATGTACCATCAGAAATTTCCCCTCTCTGCCCTCTCCCTCCAGAGCTCAGGAGAGTTTCGCAGGGGGTGGCGAAGGCCGTGAGCCAAGCCAGCCTGGCACCGGCTCGGCTGCCATGGGGTGCAGCTGAGAAGAAGCTCTGGGAATTGCCTCCTCCCTCCTGTCTACCCCCAGCTCACGCGGCAGGGAGACCTGTGCATCGCGAGAGGGCTGTGCATTGCTCTCTGCACTTCTGCAGATGAGAAGCCCACAAAGCAGGGCACACGTTGCACCAGGGACAGTAAGTAGGAAGAGCTCCAACACCATTTGTCACAGCCTAGTGTGGCCAGGGACAGGCAACACCTCTCCATGCAGAGTAATGAAACCTTCAGGGAGCAAAACAAATGAGGCATGGCCAAGTTCCTTGTCTGCATAGTGCCCAGGCCAATGATACAGGGGCATTCCCATTACCAGCCTTGCTCTACTCAAGGTTTTCCACCTCCAGTTTCTGATGATGGTGATGATGATGATGGTTTCTGGTGATGCCATGCAGCGTGTAGGCTGAGAAGGAGTTTTGCCTATGTCTTGGCAGCCCTCCTTTCAGAGGGACAGCTCCAAAAGTGCAGGTGCCTCCGAGCCGGGTGGGTAGGCCTGGGGATGCCCCTCGCCAGGCTGAGCACCCATCTCCTCCCAGGGCCCACAGCACCCTGAGGCTCTGCCAGTGTGTGAGGGAGCGAATGAGCTATTGGCAATCTGTAATTTTAAAAAAAGGAGTTTTTAAAGCTGTTGCTAATAGGAGCTGTGTGGCGGGGAGCCATCCGTCAGCACAGGTCCTCCGAGGCCATCCGTCTCCCTGATGGAGTGAGCTGCTCTGATTAGCAGGGACTGGGGCAAGCCAGGCAATTGCTCAGAGGCTGCTCTAGTCTTCATTCAATTGAGGAAAAACAAATTCTCCAGCATCCCTGAGCTGAGGAGGACTTTTATCCTTGTCCCTGTGAGCTCCTCTCCTCTCCCCCAGCCACCACCCCCCTCCAAACCGGTCACTAAAGCTGAGGTAACATCTAAATAGCACCTTAAATATAGATCACAGCCAGTTTTGGCAAAACATGTCTTGAGCCTGAGCTGGATGGATGCAAACCCATGCACAGCTGTTGAATACGAGCAAGTTCCCCATGACCCTGCATGGTTGAGCCAGCCCCTGCCCACTGTCATGTCCCCCCAAACCCCTTGCAATGGTGGGTGGATGGGTGGCAGCTATCTCCAAAAGTGCTTAGCAGCAGATGTGGTGAAGCTGTGGGACGGAGGGTGGACGAGCCCTGGCAATATCACGGCCGTGCTGCACTGGTGACAAGGTCTCAGGGGCTGGGAAAAGCAGGGACTGAGACCCACATCCTCCAGCTGTCAGCCCTGGACAGGGGGTTGGTGGAAGGGGTTCGACATAGGGACAACGGTCCTGGTTTTGCATAAGGAAGTTGGTCCCAACGGTTATTTTGACTCCTTGTGTCCCTGGGCATGGCATAAAACAGAGAGCACAGGAGCAGGTGGTGGGCAGAGCTCTCTCTCTGCACCTCTCCCTCGAGTGTAGCCTGGCAGGCATCTATCTTTTGTTATTTTTAGATTTCCTGAGCTTTGCGGCTTTCGCTTGCCTCAACCGTCACCCTGGCACACCCCAACACACGCTACACCCAAAAAAGGAGCCAGACAGCCACAGATTGGCCCAGAGGCAGCCCCTCAAAGCTTCTTCCAGCCCTCCAGACACCAGGCCAGCCCATCCCTGCTGGCAGGACAACCCAAACACGGTGAGAGACAATGCGAGGACAGCAGCACACTCACCCGTGTGGTTGCTAACAGGAGGCAGGCTCTCACAGTATTGTTCTTGGATGGAGACTGCAGCCGCGCTATCCCAGAAGAGAAATGCCTGCACGCGGGAGAGACCAGACCACAGGCAGGGTTATGAATGCAACACACAGCTTCCCCATGCCCCGATACCAGGACGGATGCTATCTGCTCTGCTTCCCACCTGCTGATCCCCTCCTGCCTGGAGCAAACTGCACCCTGCTCTGCAGAGCCCCTGCCTGTCCTCGGAGCTCATGCTATTTAGTAGTTTAATCAACACTTTCCATTTTAGCATCTTTGCATCCTGAGAGCAGACAGAGGAAACATGATGAACCTGACACCATGCTCAGATTTTCAATACCTTATTAAAATCACAGCCTTGTAAGCTGTCGGGGGAAGATGTTAATATGTGTCCTTAAGGCGATCTGATCTGCAGTCAACTAGGTCTGGCTGCAGCCTTCTTTCAGAAGGGCTTGTCTGTGGGGGAAACACTGAGCAGAGCTCACAGCTCATCGGCGTGAGCTCCTCCAGAGCAGCTCCTGGATGGTTGCGCAGGTCCTCTGCAACCGAAAGGAATCGCCTTTCGCTGTGCGGGGGGCTATTTTGGAACAGCTGCTGCTGAATTATGGTTTCCGGTAGCAATTGCAATAAGTTTTTCATTGCTGGCAAGTCCTGTGTGGAAGGAGCAATTGGATGCCTCCGTGAGTGGTGGCTTTTGGAGATGGTAGGCATGGTGGGGAAACCTGGAGAAAGTCACGTAGCCTGCAGGTCTCTGCTCAGCTGGCTGTGTGGCCTTTGCAGAAGTTTGGGGAAACTAAAACCAAGGAAAGCAAATGCAAGTGCAAGGAGGCAGAGGGATGGTGCTGTTAGACCCAAGGCTTGCAAGGGAGGCAGATGGCAGAAGGAAGGGGGTCTGCTGTTTGCACTTTGTCATCAATTTCAGGGAAAACACGCTTTGCAAAGCACACAGGTTTCTACCAGAGCAACTACCCATTTCATCCTCTACATCTTTGCAAAAGCCCATGGAGCAGCAAGCTACTTGGGCTTAGCAGTCCTTTGCATTTACAGGAAGACTTTTGAGACATCACACATGACTGAGCACAACCCCTTGCGTGGTCAGGCAAGCAGAGTCGCTGCGGCAGGGGCCAGAAACGTGGTGTGAGGTTCCCACCTGCTGCGTGTGCTGAGGAGATGGCACTGGGGATGTGAAAGCAAGTGGTGTGGCGGGCCGTGCGTGCTGTCAGAGCAGAGGGGCAATGAGGGTGATGTGATGACGTGGGCTCATCCCTGCTGTCCATAGATGGGTGCTGAGAGTGGATGAGGCCGAAACCCATTTCTCTCACTCAGGGCCCTGCCCCGTGAGGAGGGAGCAAAGTGCTTTGAGGAAAGATCACTGCTGACTGGTTTGAATGGTGCAGCCATGCCCTGAAATGCAAAAGTTTCCAGTTTCCTTGGGAAGCTCCAACTTGAGCCTAGTAACAGGAAAAGCTGCAGCTAGAAAAGCTCCCAGCTCCCCAGGGGTGGTGGGCTCTGATGCCTCCTGTGTTGAGCCAATAAAATGAACAGCCTCCTCCTTCCCCATCAGCCAGGCTCGTCCCGGGTGTGTGATTTTCCTTCTCTGGTGTCCTTTACCTTCTAAACCGCTCCAGGTTGGGAGGATATGGTCCTTCCTGTGCCCTTGAGCAGTATAAACACTGGCTCCTCTTATTGGTGCACCTAGAAATCCTCTGAGCCTTACCAAAGCATTTGCAGGATTTATTCAGCCATGGAGACAAGCTTAGCACCTACTTACTCTTTTCCAAACAACTATTTACTGCCTTGGGAAGCCAGTTTTGACAGCAAAAGAGATGTCAGGCAGACATATAAATGGAGCTGAGAACAGCTTCTCTGTTGTGACTGCTCCAGATGGCACTCAGGGGATTGAGCAGCAAAGAAATGCTGCCCCGGGTGAATGTGCCTCATGGGACTTCCTGCTGGGCCAATCTTGCAAAGCTGGGCTGCATCCTGCATCTCTGCTGGTGCACTGGTTGAGAGTGGAGACTGCTAGCCAGGCTCTTGGCTGTGAAAGGAGGATGAGATTTCTAGTGGAGCTGGTGCTGATCAGCGCAGCTGAAGCACAGCCCGAAAACACATGCCAGCTGGACCTGTTAGCTCTTTGCTGTGGACATTTGGGGCAAAAGGTTTCCTCCCAAGAGGAGCTGGGGATGGTTTGCCTACCTGAGCAGGTTTTCAAGCTTTATCTGGATGTGCTTGTCCTAATCACAGTCTGCTCCAACCTGGCAGAGCCTGTTCTCCTTCCAGATGCAGAGAGAGGTCTTGGCATGGAGCAACAGCATGGACCAAGGCAACTACAGCTAGAGGGGGAGTGTGGATGAGTGAAGCCGGTGGCTCTTTGCAGTGTTTGTAAATGAGCTAATACCACTAAAGAGGGGAAAAAAAAAATCTCCCTCAAGCAAACAAAAAGAAAAGCCTAACAGCTTATTTTGCTAGGCTCAGAGTTTTGTCTCATGGAAATACAGTGCAGAGCAATATCTTGCCTTTAAAAGTCCTCCCTTTCCTCACCCTCATTCAGCAGCCCAGTAGCAGTGCAGGACAGGGGATCGCTCCACAGCTGCCTCAGTGCCCAGCCTTGCAGCTTAAGGGCTGTGGGAGGTGACACGAGCTGTGCCTGAGCTTGACATTGGGGTGGCAAATGCCCTCAACAGAGGCAAAGGTTAATGCCTCTCCCATCCACCCCAGTTGTGCTGCTGTGGGGAAACAAGCTGGGAAAGTGGCGGGATGAGATGAATTTGTACAAGCCGAGAGCACCCGGGCCTGGTGGAGAACCAGCTCCCGGCTGCACTTGGTGCCCTGTTGCTCAAGTGCTTGTCTGCATTTTGTCCTTTACAAGTTACTTTAACCTCCCCAGGCTTTGCAGACAGAGTAAGTAAAAGCCAGCCCTGTCCTTTCACGGCTTTCTTTGCCAGAGATTCACTGCCCAGGACTGGCGTAAGCTGCCACATGGCACCCAGCAGGTGCCAGCCCTGCCAAGAGTGGAGCGAAGCACATGCCCATGGGTCTACCGTGGCGACAGGCTGCTCTCCCGGCCAGAGACGGGCCGTTTGCCTGTACCCTCCCAGTCCTGCTTTGATGTGATCTATGTCAAATTATGTCCTGCAATGAAGAAGACCTCTGTGACCTCTCGCAGACGGCCAAAATCCTGGGGAGTTTCAGCTGAGGCGTCAGCTGCACGGCAAAAGAAAACCCATCTGCTCTTCTAGAAGTAGGTGCTTTCCGCAGAGGTTTTGTTTAGCCTCTAGTCTTTCTTCCTTTTGGGAAGACGTTTCTGTTGGGAGCTGGACTGGCCACATGAGGCCCAGCATTTGCAGCAGCTTCTCCTCCATCTAGAACCAGCAAGTAGCTGCCACAGCTGTTGTGGCAGAGATCATCAGCATCCACCCAGCACCCTTGCAGGCAGGCTAAGGTCTCTGTTTTACACTGCCAGATGGAGGCATGGCAGCAGGAGCTGATGGCACTGTGTTCACCGGGGACCTCTTAAATCTTTAACTCCCCAGGCAGCACACACCTTCCTTCATGCCAGGATCAGCCCCCCAAGTGATCATTGCACTGCCGAGAAACCAAAGTGCGATTCTGCTCCGATATTTTTTGCATCCCACACACTGCAAATACCAGCTGTAGTTAGTGTCCCACCACCCACCGAGTCAAGATTGTCCCAGAAGGGAAACTGAGGCACTGAATCTCTCTTATCTAAGGCCACTTGGTGGGTGAGAAATAGATTAGCTAAGATTAGACAGTTCTCCAGTGACTCTGGACATTTAGGTTTAGAGTCGAAAGCCCAGTGCGTCACAGGGGAGGACTCTTGCCTGGTTAGCACACGGGCTGCATGTCAAGGGCTCTTCGTGGCCCTGGCATGTCCTCACCCGGGAGAACAAGTGCGGTGCGCCAAGACAGTGTCAGCACTCATCAGCATGGTGAGGCTCGGGCTCTTGCAGGCACCAATACAGGGCTGCTAATATGACTGTAAGCAGCAAACTGATGCAAACACACACACACACACACACACACACACACACACACACGCATGCACAGGCAGTGTCAGTCTCTCTGACCTGCCACTGACCTAGCAGAAAATTCAATTAATAATAATTAGGAATTAATGTTCCCCCGTGGTGCTTTCCCTCTCCAAAGCAATCCACAGATATTAATTAATTAATTACCCTCTGAGGCGAACATCAACCCTCCCTCCCCATGCTACCCAGAGACAGGCTTGGCCCCCCCTTGATATTTTATTGCCTCAAACAAGATGCGATCTCCGTGGCAGGGAAGGCTGACAGTTCTGAGCAGTGAGATAGATGGCTCGTAGCCTAATTAGCGACCTAAGATGGGGCTTGGGTTTTCCACTGCCAACAGCCTTAGTTGGAGAGCAGAGTGATTAGCTGCGTTAAGCAATGTGATCCAGCGACTTCGAACGAATCCGGAGAGGTTGATGGGATCAAGGGATTGGCTGCATCGATGGTCTGGAGGGCTGAGCCCCCTTGGAGAGGGCAGGAGGGAGAAGGGATGGCTGGAGAAAGCTCAGCTGTGTCCTTGCACTGGGGGAAGCCGTGCGCGGGAACCTCCATGTCCTTGGCCCCTTTCATGCGGTGATTTTGGTCCAGTCCCATTGCTGACTTCTGAATTTGTATCACATTGGTCACAGCCTGGGGCAGGGGCTCAGGACGCCTTTTGGCGAGCCGCAGAAACCATCTACAGCAGCTCAGTCGTTTTAGGAAACCCCTTGGGATGGAGAAAGCTGGAAGAGGGGGTGCCATATGCTGTGCACTGCCTTTCCTCCTCCCCAGCTGTCTGCTTGTACTGCTGCTGGAGAGAGGGGCCCAGGTGAGAAGGACCCTTCCTCTGCCACAGTATGGCTCTTTTTATGTTCTCTTGTCCTGGTCAGACTCAGCCGGTCTGCAGGAAAAGAGCAAGAAGCTGGAAACGTTAGAGGCCTGGTTTTGAATGGCTCTACCCTGCTGACGCCTTTTCCCTGCTATTCCAGAGGACTTGTGCCCACGATTGCCCACCACGGGACAGGCTCAGAGGAGGCAACATCAAGCCACCGTGGAGTCAACCTTACTGTGGGGATCTTTCTCACCGCTCAGTCCTGTTCCCTTGCCCAACTAGGCTTGCTGCCACCCCATGACATCGCTTCACACTTGTACAAAGTACATGTGGAGGAAGAAAGACCTCCTGGGACAGTAATGATACATGGGAAGGTGGAGGGCTGTGTACACAGTCAGTCTGCCCCATCCTTTCTTCCTCACTGGGACTGAGGATCCCCGTGGCATGAAGCTGGGACCGAGCCCACACTTGGCCATCAGCCTGCAGAAAAAGCCGTCAGACTTTGGCTGTTAAAAACAATGAGCTTTAAAGGAGCTAGATGTAAATCTCAGACAGCAGAGCAACTTCAGCAGCGCAGCAAGGGAGGGCACAGATCAGCACGGCTAGCTGACACATCGCAGCCTACAGCTGGAGGTGGCCTTGCAAAGCTTTACCCCTCCGATGTGGCTGGTGTTGGGCACAGTGCCCCTTGCCTTCCCAATGGGCCCAATTTCCAACGTGCCCAATTGCACGTTGTTTAGGACTGGCTCTAACCCCTTGCTCTCCTACTGTCCACCCTGTCCCCTGTCTTTCCCCTGCTCTGCTGGGTATCCCTTTGCCTTTGTCTCCACTGACTTCCAGGCTGTCTTCTCCAGCTGATGAGCCTCTTACTGCCTCCACCTTGATGGCTTTCATAGCTTTAAAAAGTCCCCTTCCCAGGCTAAGCAACTACTGAAAGTACTAACAAGCATCCAGCCCAGGAAAGACCTGCCTCTACAACAGCCTTGCCTTAGCCTGGACAGTGACTTTCTTTGTTGTCCCCTGACTTCAAGCCCTCTCCAAGACTCTCACTTAATTAACAAGCACCTTGTCATCCTTTCAGTTGCTCAGAAGCATTCTGCACAAAGCCCTGTCAAAAGCCCTACTAGCTTGAAGATGAAGCATGGGTGGGAGATCAAGGCTCAGTGCAAGAATCACGAGGTGATATTCTGTGGCTGATGTTACTCAGGGGGGGAGGGGGGACAGAGCAGACAGTGATAACAGCTCCATCTGGCATTAAAATCTGTGGGTTTATGAATTTACCCATATTAGAGGGCCCGCCCTTGTCATTGTGTAGACAGCATATTTGCTCTGAGTATTTATTCTGTTTGGAGTCTCTCCCTTTTAAATGATGAGCCTGCTGGATGCAGAACCAAACAAAAGAATATCAATCACGGCTAAATGAATGCCCTATAAAACCTGATTTATGGGCAATTAAAGGTTTCCATGGATTAAGCTGGTCTCTCTTGCTTACTGCAAATACTTCTAGCTTCTTTTATGTATCAAAAGTGGCCTGAATTTCTAGGGATAGCTTAAAAAAGAAGAATGGCCTTTGGATATTGGAAATGAAAGCCATAAGCAAGGCAAGGAAAGGGGTACTGCCTGAATCAAAGCAAATCCTATGGAATCTGGATTTTGCCGGAGTGAAGGCTGCTAAAGAAGAGGTAGAGTGATAGACACAGTCATAGGGAAGGACCATTTTTCTAAGGTTGTATTAAACTCTCCTGAAGACCATAAATGTGGGGGAACTGTGTGTATGCACAGATATTTTCATTTTGGGGTTGAAGATTTGTTTTTTTAGCTACCTCCCAAAGTCCTGTTCTTGGCTGCCCCATGCACCCTCCCTCGACTATCACCTTTTGTAGGCTCATACTCTGGGCTGTACATCTGCCATTTAATTCACCTATAATTTTCCTCCAGTTTATCTACATACATAGCTAAGGAAACCTGCCATGCTAAAGCATTGGCTGTATTTGCCATTGTATTTTCAGGGCAAATAGTGTAGGATTTCCAGGTGGAAGAGGTACCGTGATCTGCCAAAAGCCTTTGCCCACTAGCTTCTGAATCGAGGTGGTTGCTTCTTGTTGAGTGACTCATTGATAAAGCAGGGCACTGTCTGTAGCGAAGGAGGGTCTCTTTTATTAGCTTAACATACAGTTGGAGGAAAAAAAAAAAAAACAACAGATGGGCCTCTAGGCATGTTATTCTGTCTTCAGGAAGAGCCATCTTTTCCTAACTGCCAGCTTTCTAGTGTTGGAGAATGGCTCCTGGGCTAAGTTTGCTCAGGGACCCTCTGCTAATGATTTGGCCCTTCTTTTGAGCCTGAAAACTGTTCTCTACCCCAACTGGCAAAGGTGGAGTGAGATCCAGCCCCTCTAAATCCTGCTCACTGGGGGTTGGTGATGGACTCAGACCTCATCTTGAGCTCATCACTCACAACAGACTTCTGGGCTGGACCTGCAGCAGGCTCTCCGCTGAATTTCTGGGGAGCAGGGCTGTATTTCAGGATGGAGTCGAACGGTGTCCGCAGGCTAGACTCATTGTATTTCTATACATTCATCCTATGGCAATACAGCAGCTATTCTGGGAACAGGCTGCGCCATTGCCATTCGCTTTTTCACTGGAGATGTGAAATCACGGGGGTGATTTCACACACCCAGAATTAACTCAGGCTTTTAAGGAAATCCAGGACTGGAAGATCCCCAGGGTCAGCACGTCCTGCTGCTGCAGGTGTCACGTCTCCTGCAGAGATTGGAGTAGCGAAGGGGTGGTGGCCCTTTTTCATGTTTATTGTTACTGGATGTGGAGGAGGGCAAGGGAGAGGGGAATCTCCCACCCCTCACCCCATCAAACTCATTTTCATAAAATAATAGGACTTTATCAGCCCCAGAAATGTCATCAGTCCCTGACAAAACTGCAGGTGAACTGTTTCTTTCTGTTTCGTTTGTTTAAATGAGTTGTAGGGCACAAAAAGAGCATTTTGCAGCCTGTTTCAAGTTTGGCTGCCTATCTCTTTGTCCGTTTGTCCTTTCTCCAAGGGATGTCTACCTGGGAAGGCAACGGGGACAAACCTATGCTAAACTGGAGCTGACAGCCAGGTGCGTTGGAAACACCTTAGTTGTGCCAGCTCAGAGATCTGCAGCCTGCAAAACCTGCCGAAGCAGGAGAGATTAGCACCCGCTGCAGGTCTCTGCGCTCCTGGCTGGATGCTGGTTTGGGTCTGCCTGGCTGCAGGGACGCTCTCCCTTTGGGCTACAGTTTCGTGGTCACTTTTAGCCCATGCGGCTAAGAGTGCTTAGAGACGAGAAGCTTGGCCTCACACATGGCTGGGGCCGCGCTCCTAGACCCCATGCAAGGCCCCGTGCAATGGCCACATGGGAAAATTGCGGTGCTGGGGCTTTCAGGGGCTTGGACTGTGCTGAAAGTGGGGCTGAATTCTGAATGCATATGTTTCTCAGGAAAAAAATTATATTGGGAAGGGGTACTTTTTTGCTTGAGCGTTTCTTTTCAGGGCTGGCCAATGCGGTTGGGTAGTCTCCGGTTTGCCAGAGTGGTTGTTGAGGACCATCAGCACTATCGGGGTAGTCTCCAGTTTGCCGGAGTGGTTGTTGAGGACCATCAGCACTATCGGGAGACCTGTTTGCCCATGGCCAGGAATAGCTGGGGCTTCTCACAAGACTGAACTCTCGGCGGGCAGGCTAAGATTGCCCACTGCAGAACCTGCCTCTCTTGCGCAGGCGTTGTTGCTTTGCCAATGTTGTCCCCATGCATGGGTGCAGGGCTGCTCTTCCTCACCTTTTCTTACATCAGAGCCAAACAAAACCTGCACTGGGTAACATAACCGCAGAAGAGCTCTCATAAAACAGAATAAGGGCTATGCAGTTAAAGAAGAAAGCAGGTTGTTCAGAAGAGGAGCTTCTAAAAAGCAACACCAACTTGGCAGCAGGCTTGGCTGGCACGTATTAGCTCTTCGCATCACTTAAGTGAGAACTTTCTTATTCCAAATGTGAAGCTAAATTCTTCTCCCTGATCTTGCTGCTGGGTGGTGCATGGCTCTGAAACCAGCCCATGGGATACAAACTGCAACTGTGCTAAGGTGGGAGGGCTGACCCGCTGCTTTTTCCTGTCGTTTCAACTCTGCATCGCAACTGTGCTATTGAGACAGCATTTTGTGGAGAGCCATGCAAATTCTTTTTCACCCTCTTGACACAGACGTTTAAGCAAAAAGCTGATTGTTTTGTGTAACTGCATATCCAGTTTTGTTGATATAATGCTCAGGTTTTCACTGAAAACCTTTTTTTCTTGTCATCCCCCCAGGGTTTGGGATTTAAACATTCTTTGGGTTGGGAACATTTGCTTTTTCGATGAGCTCTCGGGGAGGAGGAATATTGTTTCTGACAAAGCATTTGCATTTTGTGCAGAGCTGCAAAATTAGCAGTGGCTACAGTTCCATCGTGAACAATTTAAAGAGGAAAGTCTTGTGCTTGATGGGGAAAAAAGGAGCAGTTTCTTTAGGAAAACAACCGAGGGGATAGAATTAGGCTACGCATTTGTGCCATCCCTGTCCATCACACCCCCAGAGCAGCCACCCCCCCGCCCTCTCTCAGCACAATAAGGGAAACTGGTGGCAGCTGGTGACACTGGGAGGTGCAAGGCAGAGCCAGGCTGGTCTGCAAGGCAGCTTGCCCTGGCTCCTCCAGCATGCCCGGCTGCTAGCCCTGAGCTGGGCTCTCCTGGCCACCGCCAGGGCCTGGGGACATGCCCTGTTCCTCAGCCCCTGCTTCCAGGCTGGGAGTCCCCCCCTTGGACTGATCCTTTCACTGATGCCAGCTCCCTCCCCCCCCACCCCCCGCCTTTTTTTGGGCACCAGGAACTTGCCAAGACCCCATGACTTGACTGGAGGAATCCTTCTGGGGGCTCTTGGTAATGGTTTTTCTCATTTCACTTTTCCCTTCATTCAAAGCAATGGAAAAGTCACTCAAGAGAAACCTGGCAGTCCAGGAGGCAAAGGGGTGGTGGGGAGGAAGGAAGGAGAACCCATCCGGGAGAAGAGGGCTTGCGAGCATCTTACCTGCAGGAGGAGGAAGAGGAGGAGGGTAGGACGTATGCCGGACATCATCCTTAACTCCCACTATGCCCAGCTCTCCCAGGCATGTTTGGCAGCAGTCCCCACTTCTGCTGGGCTCCTTATGCTGTCTGGGGTAAAATCCTCTGGGCTTTGTGTAAACGAGCTTGTCATCGACACGGACCCAGGCTCTTGGCACTGCAACTCCCGCCACCCTGAGTCTCAGCTGGGCTGTGCAGAGGGAAGCAGGTGCCTTTCGCCTTCCCTCTCCTTTGCTCAGCAACCTGCTCCTGCCTTTTATAATCTTGCTGCGAGCCGGTCGTCTGGGCTCCCCACCTTCCAGCTCCCCTGCTCGGCTGGGGATGGGTTACATCTCTTCTGCCATCCTCCCACTCCCCCTGTCTTTCCCTCCTCCTCCGCTGCTTCCTCCTCCCCTTTTCCTTCCTCCACAGCCCCGGTGCCTTGCAACTCTTCCTCTCTTGCCATCCCCTCCCTCAGCATCTTTTGCAACCCAAACTTTCCGATTGCCCAGGGAAGCCCTTCAGTCCCCCTGCCCTGCCTTGCCCTGCTGGGGATGCGTCCCTACGTGGGGCAGGCAAGCCCCTGCCCAGCCTGGACCACGTCCCCCGGCTCTGTCCCTCCGCTCTCTAGTGGGAGACTATTCCTCCGCAAAGGCAGGCGTTTTGCTGTTGCTGCAAGCGCTTTTATGGAGGCTGTGGACACCTGTGTTTGTGTGTGTGTGTGTATGCAAAGGGATTTTGACTGCAACTTTTAGGAGGATTTGCTCAAGGCTCTGGGAGAGGGTTTGAGGGAAGGGAGAGCAAGGATCTGTCCTTTCCTTTGAGCATCTCCCTCTGGAGAGGGAGCAGGGGCTCTTGGTGCCTTCTTGTCTTCCCTTGCTCTGCTGGCCCTGATCAGCTTCCTCTAGGGCTGCAGCAGCCCTGTGCCTTGTAACTCCCTGGCAGAGATGAGCTGCTCCTTACCCCTATGGCCCCATGTCCATCCTTGTGCCTGCAGCACAAGTAAGCCTCGCCCAAGCCCCAGGAGAGCCTAGGCTTGGCTTCGGACTGGAGGAAGCAGACCAGGCTATAACAGGGGAAACTGAGTAACAGGGGAGGTGGGAGGCTGCTGGGTGGAGAGCGGCTTCCCCAGCAGGACTGGCAGTGGCACGGCACAGGCAATGCAGCAGAAACAGGAGGGCTTGAACTAATGGGGTAGAGGGGCACTGGTTTGGGGGAGATGTGTCCGTTGGAGACAAGTGTCCTGGGGAGGGTGGAGGGCAGTGAGAGGTCATGCAGAACAAGACTTCTGGGGTCTTGACTAATTTTTTCCCTTCCACCCTAACCATGAGACACTCCTGCCAGCTCCAGTGGTGCTTGGGGATGCGTCAGCCCCGGCTGTGAGCGTGGGAGAGACTTCCCTATGTCCCAGGTGTCGAATCTCTGGGCGTGGCCTGCGCCAGGTGAAGCCCGCTCCCTGAGTTGGGGTAGGGTTTTGGGGCACGCTTTCCACATCCTGCCTGGGGTTTGCGGGGCTGGTGCAAACCACAGCCGCTGTGCTGGCCCCAGGGAAAGGTGCCGGGAGTCTACCTGCTTGCAGTGACTCAGCAGCAGGAGAAAGAGCCAGTCAGCAAGTTATGGCTTTTTCTTTCCTTGTGGAAACAACTAGAGTCAAGCTGCATCTCCGGGAAAATAAAGGGATGATGGGAGATGTCACATCAGCATTGACACCTTCTTCCCAGCAGCCTCCTCCAGTCACGATGCTCCTGTAGGGACCAGAGACATTTCCCCCTTCCCATATCTAAGTGCCAACGTGTCAGTGGCAAGTGTCTCTCTCCAAACCATGTAGGGGCCAGGGTCATATCCTGCTCTCTTCCAGGCACCCCTGGCTGACGTGGTTGTACATAGGATTGCTGGCCGCTGGCTGGACCGTAGCACGTGAGCAGCCAGCCAAGGGTTACACCCAGGAGCTGTGTGGATGGTTCATCCCAGGCCTCAAAGGGTAAATCCTCCTGGCCCAGTAACTAAAGCAATAAACAACGCAGACATAAATCTTCCAGCATTAGCTGGATTTAATCAACTGTGTCATTGCTTTGGGAAAGGAGTTTGAGAATATGTAAAGCTCTAGTAAATTCAGGAAACTTGTTATTTCTTAGGTCTCCTAACATCCCAGCCCTTTGACAAGTGACGGGACCAGATAGACTCCAGATCCACCTTTGTATTACCTTGAGCTTCAATTAGCCCAATTTAAAATGCAAAAGTTTTGAGAGGAGGCCTTGAGAAAGTTCCCTCACCCTAGAAGAGCCTGGAAAAGACAGTGGGGAAGAGGTCGGGTTCAAGTCCTCCAGGCAAAGCAGGCTTTGACCCTGTTTTCCCACGCCCCTCTTGAGCACAGGAAGAGCGAACCGAGGCTGGTCACGGTGAGAAAAAAGGCAAAAGCATCAGTTTTCCCCTTCCTCAGGCCTTGCAGTTCATCCTCTGGGCAAGATGCATGCAGTGACCATGCTCTTATCAGATGCCAAAACCATGGGGTGATGGGAGGGAAGCGAAAGTGCACCCAAACTATTTTTAGTCAAGGAAGTGGTTGCCAGGGACATTAAGATAATTCCTTCCCCATATATCAGGGAAACGACTGCAGTGCTGTTTTAAAGGCCTAATTGAGGGGATTTATAGGAAAATGCAACTTGTCAGATGTGGCAGAGGAAAAATAAAACAGTCCCCTAGACAAGGAAATCACTCCATTCGTCATGGTTAATCTCAAATTCCTCCGTGCAGCAGAGAGATGAATGTGGGAGAAGGGTATTAGGGATGGGGGAAATGAAGAGAAATATCGGATATCCAGGAAGGAGGGAGAGCAGTGATTTAGCATGACTTTATCTGCCTTTGGTACATTATTATTTCTTTATGTAACTGCACATGGTTTGACACTTCTGTTTCCTAACAGCTCCAGGACACCTGCACTTTGGCGCTGTACGCGTGACTTACACAACCACAGTGCTGCTGGTGTTGTCCCCATCCACCCTGCAGCCGGCCCTTCGCCCCGTGCTGAGTGCAGCTAGAGAAAACCGGAGCATGTTGCTGTGCCTGTCCCTCTTGCATGGCATGGCCAAGGGGAGGCAACCAGGACTGCTGCTTGCACATGCAGGAGCTAAGCACACGTGTCCCAAATTCCCATGTGGAGCTGATGCTCTAGCACTGCTAGGTGTGAGCCACAGGGCTTTACTTACCAGTGTGATGTCTACAAAAAAAAAATAAAGAAAAATCTTGTTTGGACTGTCAGAGTCCAGGACATTCAGGCCAGGCTAGTGGAAGTCTAGTGTATAACTTCTTGGTGTGCTTGGCTGCAGAAAACCGCAGCTGAGATCACCATTGTGGGGCTATACCTCAGTTTCCCTATTGGTAGGTAGGTGTGGATCAGATAGCTCTAACAGTGTTCATACTGAGCCTTGGAGGATTTATCTAGTCTGTCCTCTTTTCCAAGGCAGGAAGTATTCTGCCTTGACTAGCCGTAATGGATGCCTGTCTACTGATTCTTGGAGATACTTAGTGCTAGAGAGCCCAGCTAGCCCAGTGCTTCCCTATCCTCACTCCAAGGGATTTTGTGCTAATGCACAAAGGGTCAGATTTGTGGTAGAATAATGCAAGAACTGTTAAGTTTTATCATGCTGCCTCTGGCTCAGCCTGTCCCTCTGCCACAGTCCTTGGAAGTCGGAAGTGCGGTCCAAGGAGCTCTTGCTAAGGATTCCTGTTGCTTTGCATTTCCCTGATTTCCCTGGACATCTGTGGTTGACTACAGACCATGACAGTGTGCTGGACTAGATTCACCTGTGAGCTGACCTGGGAGGGCTACTCTTACATGCTTGCTGGTGGAAGCCTTCATCCTTGGCCTTGCCACTGTTGCTTGGTTTCTACAATGTGCTCCATGGGGATGAAGTGGCAAAGGGGGGAGATAACCCCCCCATTTAGTAGCTGGCTTGGCTGAGTGCTTCAAGGAGATAAACTCCCCACTCAGTTGGAAGGTGTTTCCCTCTGGCATGTCAGGTAGAGCAAGGAGCAAGCCAAAGAAGAGACACTCATGCTCATCTCATGCATCAAACACGGACGTTGTTCCGAGTAAGCAGGGATTTGCCACATGTTCATACATCTCAATTTAATGCTCTGGATAAAAGTCAGACATTGGCGCTAGCTTCTGGATGATGCAGTGGCAGACACCACGTGTTCACCATGTTTATGCATAGAAAGCCAACCTATGTGTGAGCTACTCCCTACCAGTTCATGAAGTCTAAACCCATATCCAGCTTGGGTGGGTGGACCAGTACTGTGACATGTTGTTAGGGGGCCAAGGACACTGAGCCCCAAAACAGTGTCTGCAAATTAAAAAAAGCCAACTTAAGGAAGGTGGGAAACCCACAAAGAACTAAGATCTAACTAAGCATCTCATTCAATTTCTGAGTGTCTTAAAATAGCCTGTTGTATTTTTAAAATTTCTTTTGGGAGGAAATGTCGTTTTGAATGGAACAGAAACACAAAGGCTTTTGTTTTACAGCTAATTAAACCTTGAGGAGAATGATAAAATAATCATAATAGTCATAATTATTATTTTCTGCAATCAAAATGCTTTACCAAAGTCAACCCAAATCTGCCAAATGTTTCTCCTCATTCCAGTTGGCGTTTCCCATCAAACAAAACCCCATAGTCTGTAGCTGGGTAAAGCTCCCCAGCTTTACTCTGGAGACTGATCCCATCAATCCAGCAGCCTAAAGTGCTCTGCTTTAGTGCACAGCGCAAAAGAGAGATGCACTACCCTGCCAGCATGGAGCTGTCCCGTACATGACTCTGTTCTCCCTTAGCAGTGTAAGGATGCATCCTGAATTGAGCCTCCCAGGCTGCATCTCTGCCTAAGGTGCCTGATGGCATCCCTCCCTTGTGGACGTTTGGGCTGTGCTGCCAGGTCCCTCAGGGCTATGCCCCTCACTCTGCCAGCTTGTATTTATGTGGTACTGTTGCATGGATGGTGGCCAGGTGCAGCTCCGGTGAGGCAGGGACATGCAGGTGCTTCTAGCATGTGCCAGTGGCATGGGCAGAGGTGAGGAACCATGTCTATAGCTTTGCACGTGTGGAGTGAAGTGGGGTAAGAGAAGTGACACTGCATGGCTGGCTGTGAGGAGCGCAGTGGGAAGGTGCAGTTGGAGCCAGCTCATGCACAAGCATTGATCTTGCATGAGAACTACACTAAAAGCTGCTCTCTGCTGTCTGTCTGTCCCTCCCTGGCTTCTACCTGGTCTCCCTGCCTGACGTCCCTTCCTCTTCCACTGTGGTCAATGGGATCTCCCTGAAGGTTGCAACCAGTGCCTAGTAACAAGGCTTGGTACAAC